TACCTCTCCTTCCCTCCCCCAACAATGACCAAGTACGACCCCCCCCTTTACAACGTCCGTGAAGCGAGAAAAATCAACTATCAAAATAAATTTTCCTCAGCCCAAATACGACCCCCCCCCCCCCCCCCCGCCCCCTTTCCTGGCCACCAAATACCACCCCCTCCCCCCTGTTGGGGATTCCCCAGCAACGATGTGCGCTGACATGGGCTGATAGTGGGAGAAGTAAAGCGAGAGCAAGCGGGACCTAAAATAGTAGTCCTATAAGGAGAGGGCCGCAAATCAGTCAAGCAAAGGCCAATATAGGGAATCCATTATTGCTTGCCAGTGAGGACCAGATTCAGATCAGTTACCACCCCACCACGAAATACGGTCTCCGCCGAGGATTCTCTATCGCAAGCTTGGCCCTGACTATTACGGTAGCTGGCATCATCCCAACTCTTTATTTCGATCGATACGCATTCATCATGCCGCTGAATCAGATAGGGAGATTCGAGATCAGGGCGATTGGAAAGAAGCTGAAGTGAGAAGCAATACCATTATTGGCTAGTTTCAGCTATGCACGGACGCGACTGCAGATGAGGCTCGGGGCTTTAAAATCATTGTAAAAATTGACGGATTGCTCGCCCTTCTTTTATCATTGTCGCGGAAGATGATATTTCTAGTGTTGCTGTTATTATTATTTTCACAATTTTTTTGGATCTTTATTTTTTTGGAAATGTCGACATAGTTTCGCTTTCAGATGTGAACGTGACCAAGGCTGTTGTGAACACGGTTGTTGCCCGAAAGACCAGCATTGGTAAGCCATCAAAGCGACCTTCAAGCCTATCCTTTGATAACCTCAGGAAGAAACATTTTTTATTTACCAGGATGGCTGGTGTCTACGTATTGCTTGCCTTTGTGCTACTGGTATTCGTTGTCGGTACAGTATTGATGATCGTATGCTATCAGCGATCGAAGAACAAGCAACGAAAGGAACTACGGGAAGCTACCGAATACAATGGCTATGCCGGTTCTCAGGTGCGCTGAACCTTATCGTGGAAATTCAACATGCCTCCTACTCAGTACAGAACTTGCGCAACCCTGACCAGAACGACCATAGTCTCAAGTTCCTATAATCAGAATGTCTGTAACAGAACATATTTTCCTTTCTTTTTTCCCCTTTTTCAACCCCCTGCTGGAGTTTGTAGCCTTTCTGCATGCAGCGCAAGTCAATCGCTGAGCATAGCCAGCAACTACCGCTCAGTTTTGTCGAGAGCGGTGAGGGGCAAGCGCTACACCGCAACCCCCCTCCCTTCCAGGAGAAACAAGCTGCGTTTGGCGCACCAGCGTTGCAAGTGACGGGGCGCGCGCGGGCGGGGTGCACCAGGACCTCACTGATTTGGCCCAAAATCTCCACAGCGAGCGGAGTCATATAGTCAGGTCAACTGGTCAACTCGTACTGATCAAAGGAAAGATATGTTTAATTAAACATTCTCAACGTTTTTTCCCTTTCTCCTCCATTGTTCGGTAATCGCCCACCCCACCCCCCTCCTCCCCTACACAAACAACACGCGTTCCACAATGCGGAAGGTACCTCAAAGCTGAGGAATAGGTAGTTTATCTTCACAGTCAACTATCTGATACCTGCTTTGCCTGCTGCCTTTGGAGCAGTACTACAGTGCATGGTCAATGGAAGTTTTCTAGCGTATAATTTAATCAGTATTTTAGCCAGGAGCAGTAGCGCGTACTCGTCCTATGGTGGGCCGACCTATCTGATGAATACCTCTCACCCGTGACACAACTGCCCGCGATCAGATCAAACCATTTTCGATGCGCAACATCGGACGGTCTTCCAGAACAAATGTGATGTACATATCGATTCAAATATGTAATATTTTCTTTGCTCAATACAGCAAATATTATCAATTGCCAATAAAATTTTGATATTACGTTGATGAAGCTTGTTATGTAAGCTATATATGCTGCTTAATAAAACGGCTATTTTCTATTTGGCACAAGGCACAAGTGTAGCACTGATCCGCTGCTTGGTAAGAGTTGTGATATGCCATCGGCAGGGCCACGGTTACTTGGCTTACAAAAATAGGCCGAAAAATGGTCGCCAGGTGTTACGGCGCAGTTGGCGGACGGGGCAATTTTGAACTTTTCTGCTCACTAATTCGTTTTTACGGAGTCCATTCTAGTGAAACTGTGAATTCTTGGAGCTGGAGGCAGCTCGTCGCAGCCAACATGGTAAAAACTTGTCTAGACGCTTTAAGTTCACTAAGGGTTTCCCAGATGGGTCGACACGTCGTTAGGAAGTAGCAAAACGCATAATGCACCCCCCCCCTCGTCGTCGATTTGCCCCGCCACGAGTGCTACTTGGTTGGGAAAAGACGAAAAACACGAAGCGAAACGCGAAAAACCTGCGAAAAACCCTTACACGGCACGAGCACTTCTAGACAGGTTTCCCGTTGGCATCGTGCCAGCAACCGCTCTGTTGGATACGGCTACACATATTTATTCATATATCCATGCAGCAACGCTTGTATCAATTGTACTTCATAAATGAAGCGATAAGAGTACAGCGTCGATGTGACTGTGCGGCCATTTGTGGGCGGGCGGTTGCGATGGGCGTCTGTGGTCGGCATGGTGCATCTGCTTAGGCGCTATAACGGTGCCCTTGGTTGGAACGGGCGCCACGCAGCGCCTGCAATGAACACAATATTCGTTCGTGCTAGGTCTATTGACCTTGCACGCCTTGTCGATTTTTCGGGTCACTTTGAAGTCAAGAAGTCTGTAGTGTATCATTGTCAATGCTCGGATAAGTTATGTGATATCGTTGATACGTCATTCACCCTTGACAAGTAACGTACTGCACCATGCAGTTCCGGTCCCGGCCAATGTACGAAACCTTGTGGCAAAGTTTTGTTTATTCGACAACAGGAAATCTTTGCAGAAGCCCTACAGGCGTTTATTACCTTCATTAATAATGAAAAGAAAACTGGTGGGGTTTAGAAGAATTGAGGCGC